TTCATCTAGATTTATGTTGTATAGCACACCTCCCTGTATACAACAAATACTTGACACTTTCATAACCTATACTGTATGGTATAACCGACACCTATCTATGAAAGGAACTTGATTTGTTATTAACATAAGTTATAATCATGAATGCCTAACAACATTTATAAGTATTAACATTAATCGAATAAGATAATTAATGTAATCATGTTAAGAATTTATAATCTGATTGGAACCTCTTTTGTGTGTGGTTTCTAATTGAATAATAAGAGTTTTTACTATACTTGTTTGATATATCATTAGTGGATCCTTTAACTTTGACTTTTGTTATTATCATTGTTTAATCCTTACATTAATCTTCCATCTCAAAGTTTTCATCAACTTCCTTTTCTTTTTTTTTTCTTCTTTATTATTACTATTACTATTAGTATTATTATTACTAGTACTACTACTATTATTGTTACTATTGTTACTATTGTTGTTGTTGTATTATTGTTGTCTATAATTTATACAATTAACCTCCTTGTGGTTCGATCCTAATCTTACCGGGTTATTTATTATTTCAACACTCCTATACTTAGGAGAAGACATTAATCTTTTGGTTGTGTCAATTATGTTTTATAATATTGGAAGGATACTAAGAGGAGAAAAAGAATAGCATTAAAGGCAACATCATTTTCCTTAAAAAAAAACAATAAATGGCATGGTTGAGGTCAGAATCCTATTCTAACTTGGAAATCAGAGAGTGACAACTTTTCTTTTAGGTTTTATAATTATTGAGTAGCATTATAGGCTATAAATAAGTATTGTATCATACCTACAATGCTTTCTTTTTTTCTTCTCTTCTCACTACAGAATAAGACTTAGATTATAAGCTTTATTTTTATTTTGTTAGCTATAGCCCAAGGCTTGTTTAAGTTTAATTAATACTTTATTTTCTACTAGGATCCAAGACTTGTTTGGATTAAAGTTTGAGCTTACTAGTAAAAATTTTGAGTCCATTTTTATAAGTGGATTAATTTATCCCACAAGGGTAGAACTATTAGGATTAATTTCTCAGAACTATTTAAATACATGTAAAGCCTAAATTTCAACACTTTTGAAGAATAATACTTCTGAACATTTCAGTTTAACATGCGAGAGAGATTCTTGTATTTTTTTTGTTCTTGAATGAACTAAATTTGATTTATTATAGATTAACTAGCTTTGTGACGTGATTCAACTTCATTCCAATAGTGTTGGTTGATTAGTACTTAAAAATGTTCATTTTACACTTAAAGTATCAATAACTCCTTAATTAAAACATGTTTTAGAATAACATATCTAATAATATAAGAT